AATAAGTGAATAAATTTAATTAAATAATTAATAAATTAAAAATAATATGTTTTAAGACAAATTAATAATAAAAAGAGAAAATTAAAATTAAAATATTTTAATATTAAAAATAACAAGACGTTCTATTACCATTACTAAATATATGAAACATAATATAAATTATTATAATTTTATCACAATATCTTAATTTTTCAATAACAATATATTTATTATATTAAAACTATATGTTAAAAGTACCTTTTGTAAACGTGCAACTACTGCGACTCCACTGCGCAGGAACAGCTAAAAGCTAAAAGCTTCCATACTCGTCAAGTTATGGTGTTTTAATCATTTTTTTTTGGTAGTTTTTGTTACTTTTAAGGGTTTTAAGCCCTTGAAATTAAGTGAATTTTTAGTTAATTTTCTGTAAAAGCTGATAAAAAAAAAGTTAGAAAAGGACAATAATGAGAACAACGGCATATTTATGCCATACTTGAGTTCAGGGATTAATTTGTCGCACCACAAGAAGTACATTGGCTTTTTTGCCCTTTTCACTAAAGAATGGGACCTCAATTTTTCAAAAGTTTAATGTCATAAAAATCCTCAAACTTTGTAAAAGGTTGTTGTCAACCCTCTCCTTTAAAAATTACATAAAAATTCCTTAACTTTTGGAGAGTCAAGCATTATCGCTCAGAACGTCATATCACGAATTTAATAAAAAACCAGATCTATTAAACTAAACAATGAGATGTAGTTAGTGTTTATCTGCAAAAGACCACTTCGTTTCAGTGCGTGCCAGGATTTGATAGTAGTGGGGAGCGCACAAGTATTAATTAAAATATATTTTTGCTTCTTTTAAGCAAAATGTTATATTAAAAAAAATATAATTTAGTATATCAAAGTCAAGGAAGGATAATAGATGAAGAAAAATAAGGGAATATTATCTCATCCTTCGATTTTCGTCAAACTAAACAAATTAAACAAGAGAACATTCAAAAAGAAATGATAAAAAAAACAAGGAGAAAAATGATAAACTAATTAAAAGAGTGAATAGCTAAATAACAGACTCATACAAGTAGTATTAGTTTCTAATTTTCCTATGTGATAAGTTATATAACTGAAATCATATTATCAAGTATGCTTTGTAATCTGTTATAAGTAGTTTTAAGTTCTCCAAAAAAACAAGGAAGAAAAAGATATAAATATATAACATCGATGTTTCTTCTAAGTAAATCCAAAGAAATTGAGGATGAATTCTGAAATTCCTACTTGAAACAGGGGCATGTAAAATTCCAAATTACAAACATACTAAGAGATAACTAAAACAAGAGATTGATGTCTGCAATAGAAACTCAATCAACAGGTGTTACCTGTAGGTGTAGGCTGCAAATGAAGAAATCTGTTCTGTAAGTCAAGCAAGTCCTCGGCAGAGTTAGAATGGAATCCGGTTGGTTGATAAAGAAGGAAGAGGGAGAGACAAGCTTTTAAAGACTTTTGATTTTGACTGATTAGAAGTTAGGTTTAACGTACTACCAAAAAAATGGGAAAAAAAAAAATCTAAAATGGAGGGCCCGACTGCCCATTTACTGTGTTTTTATATTTTTAAAAGTTTGATTTAAACCACTAAATTAAGTAATTTAATGATAATTTTTTTATTAAAAATAAGATATATTAAGTTTGAATTATATAACATATTTGACTTAATGTTTACTTATTGAATAATGATAAATGAAATCAAATTGTAGACTAATAAGTTATATTATTTAAAATATTAAAAAATAAATCTTATATTATTTAATGATTTATTTTTTTGTATTTTAGCAACTTATAATATTTTATGCATAAATTAATTTAATAATATAACATAAACCAAGTTTTTAATCCCAAATTTTTGTGTAACTTATTATTACTCTTACTTATTACTCTTTTTATTCTAAAATAATTTTTTAATTAAAAATTTAGGAACAATATTTATATTTATCTATAATAACATTAATAAAAAATAAAAGATAAAGAGACACTTTTTGTGGTTAATGATTAATTAAAGTAAATCAATAATAATAGAGTTAAAATAAGAAAAAAAATATTTATCTATCTCAAAAAATTAAAAAAAAACAATTAATTTAAGATAAATTCAAAATAAAAAAGATAATTACTTTGAAATTGATGAAGTATTTTTTTTTAGAGTAGTGATATATAAATAATTATTTTACATAACTTTCACATATTATTAAATATTTTTATGTTATTAAATGAATGTATATACTTAATATTATAAATTTAAAATAAATAAA